CTCCACAGACTCTACGGCTGCGGAGCGAGTGACCTTCAACAAGACGGTGAATGCTCGGTCGGTGACTCTCGATGGCGTAGTGTTCGATCCCGCCGGCACTCTCACCGGAGGTTCGCGCCCGCAGGCCGCTTCACTTCTGGAGCAGCTTCAGCGACTCAACGGGATGAAGGACCAGCTGGCCGAGGAGAAACATAAGCTCCAGAAGCTGGATGGAGATTTCGCCAAGACTAGGGAGAGCTCCAGGGAGTACCAGGTACGCCGGTGGTGCCGGCAAATGCTTACATGGTTGGTAGCTCACCCGCTTTGTCTTCCACAGAAACTGAAGGAGGCATTGGATATCAAGTCCCACGAAGCAGAGCTTCTAGCCGCGCGTCTGCAGCAATGCGAGCACAGTCGAATGATCGAAGAGATCGAAGCCGCCAGAGAGCAGGTCATTCAGTCGCGGGAGGCTCTTAAGGCAGCCGCTCAAAAGGAGGCTGATGCTGATGCTAAGGCTAAGCAAATCGAAAGCGCCATGAGCAAGAGCAGCGGTACTGTCCCACCTCTATCCATATTCGACAAGCACACCATTCGGCTAACGGACTGTCAACTCACAGGCCGGAGCCAAAAGGACGAGATGAAAGTAATCCACGAGAAGATGGTGACCACGAAGGCTTCGCTGGGCGACGCCACGAAGTCGATCAAACAGCACGATGAAAAGATCGAACAGGCCGAACTCGAGCTGGAACAGCTAAAGAAGGAACAGAACGAGCTGCTGGAGAAGATCCGGGAGTGCGAGTCTGAGATCAAGAAGCTTCAGAAGGAGTTGCATGCCATGGAGCACGGCAAGGGCGGAGTCGCAGAGAAACGGGCTGCCTACGAAGCGGCGCAGGAACGCTTGCAGAAGAAGCAGGAATCTGTACTCTCCACCGACGAGAGGATCGCCGGCCTGCTGCAGGAGAAGGACGACCGAACGCAAGCGTCCATCGAACGAGAACAGAAGCTGAAGAAGCTCCAGAACAAGGTCAAGCGCTTCCACAAGGACAAGGAAGA